TTTCGTACCTTTCTGGCTTCCTACCCTTGGAATGAATGTTGCGTTTCCACCGATGTCTCCATCTCCGCTTCTAATTTCTCCAAAGTTCTTTTGCGAGGCATGCACCTCATTTTCTCATTTCACCAAACCCGGCAAGCCTATTTCTCCAGAATGGTTTAACCACGCCTGTTGTCGCGCTGTCCGTAAAAAGAAATCAGCGTTCCGCCGCTGGCGTCGGTCATCTTCGCCCAACTCCAGCCGATGGTTCTTGTTAGCACGTAACAAATGCATAACCACCATACAGAAGGCTAAAAAGCATTTTGTTGAGAGCAAAGCAGCACCACTGGCGACCGCTCCTTCCGGAAGCTGGACGTTGTGTCACTCGCTAAAGCAGCCTCCCGTAACTTCTGTTCCACTAACTTACCACCCATTGTTAAACCATCCGGTGATTTAGCATCCGACCCGTTGGAAAAAACAGAAGTGTTTGCTTCCAATTCTACTCTTTTCGAATCACTCATCCAATCCAGCACCCACCCAACGGCAAACCATCTATTCACACCGCTCATTTCCACCAGAAAGATATGTCAGATCCTCTTGTCACTGGACCCACACAAGCCACCTGGACCCGAAGGGATTCCTCCGATTGTCCTCAAAATGTGCGCCCCAGAACTGGCTTCCCTCCTACGTCGTTTATTTTGTCTATCTCTAAATTCTGAGATATTCCCAACCCCATGGAAATTATCAAAAATATTTCCAATCCCCAAACGCGGAGGCCACTCTGACCCAAACAACTACCGCCCCATCTCTTTCACACCAATCATTCGAAGGTTACGGAATCAGCTGTTTCTGATCAACTCCGCCACCACCTGGAGCAGAACAATATGCTTAGCGACCGCCAGTACGGTTTCCGAACACATCGATCTACCGGTGATCATATGGCGCTCATTTCGCATACACGATCAGCGGCACTTGACAACCACGGGGAAATCCATGTGGTGTCATTGGATATCTCGGAAGCTTTCGATCGTGTCTGGCACGCCGGTTTGCTAGCTAAACTATCCAAGTTTGGCTTTCCTTCGGAACTTGTGTCCTGGACAGCAGGCTAACTCAAGGACCGTAGCATCTTCGTCAGAGTAGATGGAACCATGTCTCGTTCCGTGCCTGTGAATGCTGGTGTTCCCCAAGGTTCTGTACTTTCCCCCTTCCTTTTTCTGATGGTTATTGATGACCTTTCTTCAACTTAAAATCCTATTTACGCCTTTGCCGATGACGCTACTCTACACTCTTCTGTCATATTCCTCTTCGCGCATCGTTAACTCCAGCATTAGTGACGACCGCTCCTCCCTTAGTTTCTCCCTAAATTCTGATCTGGATCTTATCTCTGCTTGGGGCTGTAGCAACCGTGTTCTGCTCAATGCCAGTAAAACACACATCTTTCTCCCCTTTCTTAAAAATTTCAACTCAAACACTCTCCGTTCCACAGAATCATGCAACCCATTGGGTCTTTCATTATCTTCTTCTCTTTCATGGTCACCTTATATTTATCTACTTGTTTCCCGCGCTGCGCGCAAAATTGGTCTCCTCTTCCGCATCAGACCTTTCTTCACCTCTATTCACCTCCTCTCGCTTTACAAAGCTCAGATTCGCCCTACATTTGAATACTGCAGTCATGTGTGAGACGGAGCTTCGTCTACCTCACTATCTCTTTTTGATCGGGTTCAACGCAAGGCCATCCGTCTCATCAACGACCCATCCCTAACATTGAACTTGCAGTCACAAGCTCACCGTCGGGCGTTCGCTTCCTTATCCTTGTTCTATCAATACTACTTTGGATTTTGCTCTGACGAACTTTCCGCATCTGCCCCTCTCCCACTCGTTCTTCCTCGTAGATCCCGCGCACAAGCGGTCAGTCACTCATTTCAAGTGGCTATCCCCAGATGTCGTATTTTTAACTTTCAATCATCTTTTTTCCCAAGAACAGCACAACTGTGTAACACTCTTCCCCTTTCGATCTTCCCTCCAAGGTACAATATCCATGTTTTTAAACGCAGAATCAACAAGCTGATTTTGCGCGAGTTTTCCAAACTTTCCCACTACCAGTATATCTTCGGATCATGGGGTTTGCCCCTTTCACTGTATTCACTTTCGTGTATTTAAAAAAACTGAGTAGTACGACTTTAAAAGCCTGATGAACTTCTCGGGTTCATAATGAACTAAACAGGCCGCTCGTCAGCAGCAGCGGCATTCTTTAATTTTGTCGTAGACGAAATTCTGGAGAACGCACTAAGTGGTCTCCAAAACGTAGGTATTAAATGGGCAGGCGGAGAAAAGCGGTGCGATTTAAAATACGCCGATGACGTCGTCTGTCTGTTCGAATGTATGGAGGAAGCGCAGTGCCCTTGACAGACTGTCAATTTCTGTTACCACATTCGGTCTGTGCTTTGCAACTCCAAAGTGCAGTGGTACTGCAAGCCTGGGTGCCGCCGAGCCCACGTTGAACTGAATGGCCAGGAAAAAGTTATAGTGCACTGTTTTTCCTACTTAAGTAGTTACACGGCTAATGACGGTAGAACAGCCAAGGACATAACCGCCCGCGTTTCCAAGGCTCAAAAAGCGTATGCAGGACTGAAACGCTTTTGACGTAGATGCGATGTTTCACTGAAGTTGAAAGGTCGTGTATGTTACGCTACTGTTTGTTTAGTTCTGCTTTATGGTTGTGAGACCTTGAACTTGTGAAAAGGAGATATCCATCGACTAGAAGTTTTCGATTATCGGTGTTTACATAGTTTAACCTATGTTGGACGGAGCTAACGTGTTAGTAGTCTGGAGGTAAGCCGTTCTGTGGTTAGAAGTTTATCGAGGATAAATTAAGATTGCTAGACTTTGCTGGCTAAAACAAGTATTGAGCATGCCTAGCTGTCGTCTGTTGCACCGCGATTTATTCGCTGTTACCGTTTGAGTTGGAGGAAACCCCGTTGAGGTCAACAGATGACGAGGAAACAAGGCATGAATAAATGCACAGAGTTATTAGGTAGAGTGTGTGTCTCGCACCTTTCACGTTGGGATCCGAAAGACTGCAACTGGTCAGTTGGAGACATTGAAGGATATGGCAGCAGTGGCGTTTTTGTTGTCATTTCTTATCAGGTCAGAATGCTTGAAACGGTATGTATGCAGAGTTCGATTATACACTCTGTGTTTACGATAAAGGTTCACTTTTTCTCACTATTGCATAAATTTTGTGTGGCAAACGGCAGACGGGGTGAACCCGATAGTCGTGCGGACTTGCTATTCAATGATGGAAACCGCAACCTAAGCCCCGAAACTTGAACTAGCGAACCGCAGAAGGCCCCTGCCCCTAAGTTATTCGTGGTATTGAACCGGACGATACCGAAGCTGCCTACTATCAAATTTGGATGGTGGTAGAGGGGGTTCGAACCTCGGACATAGGGTCGAAAGCACGCCGGTGACAGTGACAAAACCACTAAGCCACCATCATTTTCTTTCCCCATCCCTGTCCACCTACCATATTACCACTAACTTTGTATTGGCATTGCCCGTTTGGCAGCAATCAGCAATGATCGCTTCACTGTATTGCACTGTACGACTATGATGACCAGGAAGTAGTATCACACTCATCTTGTGTCTGTCGAGGTCGGCGATATTATGCGTCCATTTCCATAAAAACATCGTCAGATTTCCTCGACGGGCAAAGATGTCTTGTGTTACAATGATTGGATTATTGTACCTCCAACATCACACACTATTATGATGAATGACTTACATTCCGGTCATCTTGGCATCGGAATAATGAAGTCTCTTGTTTTTCGCATGTTGGCCAGAAATCAGGACCTGAACCGTATTGTTCAGCCCTGTGTTGACTGTGTACACAGTCTACTCATAACCTTACAAATGGATTCCGTGGCAACGAACACACGTGGACTACTGTGGTCCGTTCTTCAACAAATATTACGCATTAGTGATTGTTGATTCCTATTCCCGTTAGCCAGAAGTCTAGTTGACTATATCGCCCAGTGCTGACTTTACCATTCCAGCCCTCAGGAAAACCTTCAGTAGAGGTGTTCCTCAAACTATTGTGACTGATATTGAAGTCATTTCACTTAAAAAAAGTTGCCGACTGATTGAACTCCGTGAGTTGTCGTCATGTTCTAACTCCGCCCCGATATCCACAGTCCGATGGCGCAGCCGAAAACTTCGTGCACACACTGGAGTGCTGATGCTTCTGCAAATCTCAGTGAATTTGATTAACTAAACAGAGGTATTGATAACTTCCTGATGCATTATCGTAACACAATACATTCAACTAGTGTAGCAAAGCTGTTCACGTGTCGAGCACTTCGGACGAATTTCATAAACTTGGAATCCGCGGAAATTGTGTACCACGTGAGTTCTCTATCTTCTCTTTGACTCTGCTCGCAACATTCCAATCATCCTTCTGATCTTTCATTCAAATGGGAAGTCATAGGTTAGCAACCAAAACCGGGGCACGAAAATGCATGGTTAACGGTTGTAAAAATAAAACGGAAATCATCTTGTACAGAAATAACGAAGCGGCACGCCTGATCTCCAAATACTCGTGTTTGTAGTGACAAAATAGTTTGTCAAGGAAAAACGGCATTATTCTCTACGAAATGCTGCTGGATCTTTTGCACTGTGTTCAATTGTCTGGAACAAGAACGCTTCAGCGAGTGCATCTAGTACTGATTTTCCAACCTCGAGAATTGGTTATACCTCACTGGATTTGATCTTCACATTGAATGAAAATCTAAAGAAGCGATACCAAAATACTGAAGACTGATTCGGTGTATGCTAAATAGTTGGCATAATCTTATTTGACGGTTTTATTGAGCCGCTAGGACCTAATGGTTCGTGAATACCGCAAACTGCAATGACTTCCTAACTCAAAGTTTCAGAATCAGTTGCTGCTTACAATCATTTTCATGACTTCTAGTGAGCTGCACCTAAAGAATTGACCCATAGCGTCACGTGTCTTGGAATGGTTTTGTGGGCATTCACCAACACAACCTTTAGTCTTCAAGGGATGAATCAACGGCAATACAGACAGTCGCTGAGAGCACAAACAGATGCTAAATAACTGCAATACCGCTTAAAACACAGCGAGTTAATACGGCTTCTGATGTCACAGATACATCGGCCAGCTGTTAGCAACTGTGAACACCCTCGACATTCCCAAGGCGTTCAACCAAGTTTGGCATGGCGGAGTCCCGAAGAAGCTTCCTAAGCTGGCACCAGGGTATGAAATCCTTAACCCGGGTACTGGGTCACATAGGTCCCGTAAGGTTCCCTGGATGAGAACCTCGGGATCAGCGTAATCAATGGTTAGAGACACTGAGTGACATGGCTGGGAGTCGTAAACAGTGGCGTTCGTGTATCTTCTCAATTTCTTTGCAACATTAGTTCACTGAAATTTTCAATTTTCTCGTAGACTACTTTCAAACTTCTTGTCTTTCTCTTACTGTTCACCCAAATGAGCGGCTAGAAGACAGCAACCAAAACCGCAGCATGGAGGTGCATGATTAATGGTTGTACAAACTGAACTGATTGAACTTCCCAAGCTTGAAATTTCGGCGTATTTTCTCATTTCAGTATGAAGCTTCGTTGTGGTTCAATCTTACTTTGCACTAATGGACGCATTTTGAAGGCAATTCTGGATAACTTTGGCGTTACACTAAGTTTCATGCTTTTCCCCACCCTCTTCCTATTTTCATAGACTATTACCTATCCCGAGCTTGTTCTTTTGTCAGATGATATCATGGTTATAATTTTTTTAATTGCACACTGTCGGGTGATGAACAGCAGACGGGGTAAACCCCATAGTCACGAGGATCTGCTGTTTAGTGATGGAAACCGGGAATCTAAGCCCCGGGATTTAGAGTGGTGAAACATACAAGACTCCGATAGGTTAGATGTGGTATTGAACCGGACGATAGTAGAGCTGTCGAACACCAAGGTCGGGTGGCGGGGCTCGAACCTCGGACCATAGGGTCGAAAGCCCGCGTGTGACTAAATCACTGCACCGCCACCACTACTTTCCTCGCTATGGTCATCCCTCATCACCAATAATCTGTGTTAATTGCCCTAAATTCGCACTCAGTTAACACGAAAGGCCTTCCGCTATTCTGATCGTGGCTTGCCTCATGAATGTGTACCTTATATGGTATGCCACGGAATATACTATATATATATATATATATATATATATATATATATATATATAACTAATCGAAGTACATCAAACAAGTGTAAATAGTAATAATTATTGCTATGAAATGTTAACATTTCATGTTTTGAAGTTCACAAATAATATTGAAAGAGAGCAATCGTTCATATACTGAAACTACAATAGTCAAAAGCTGATGAAAAGCTTATGTA